CAATAATGAAATATCAGTGGAATTCTAGCTGAATGTGCTAACCCCTGAGAGACACAACTCCTCTACCATAATACAGTCAGACAGAGAAAAAAAAGATCAATTTATGAAAGCCATGTTTACCCAGTGGCAGAATAGTTAGATGTTGATATCAGTTCACAAAAGTGGTGTATGGTGATCTGCAAATTAATTATATACTTGTAGATAGAATGTCAGCATTTCCTGGGATTTTCATGAATGCAGATTTAGGCTTCAAAACATCACTTACACTCATGCTAAACTTGAAGTACTTCCTCTAGTCCCAAGTAGAAAGTCAGGACCTAAATAATATTGTGTATTTCATTTGGAACTAATAAAATATAAGTACAAAAAGGGAACATTTGAGTCAGTTTATTATACAGTATTTGACCCTATCTGCCCTACTAAAACTTCACATTGTTTCTCCAGTGGTGCCGTATGGGAACACAAGATTGCAATTGTGCCCCAAGAGCACAACAGCAGTCCTCATAATAGTTTCTTCAGTCTTTTTTTTTACATTGCTTTCCAAAATGATGCTGCCATATGTGCTGTTATATTTAAGCAGCAGATGCTGTGAACTCACAAAGTTGAAGAATGCTGAAGTATGATACCATTTGAAAACAGGTTTTCTAGGGAAAGCTGACTTCTTGCAAGGCTTTGAATTTATTTCAGGCATTTCATTACTAATTACAAAAGGCCATATAGAATGCATTTATACCACTTATTGGTTCTGTCTTGGGGCACCTAATATATGGGCTATCTAGCTTTTACACTATATTGCTCTTCCCACAGCTACAAAGCTGCAATAATCTCTATTTGCAGCAGTGCTAATGCTTTCCTTTTGAAAAGGAGCTGGGAATGGGTCTTCATTTCCACTTCTTTACTTAACCAGAGTTCGAGCTAAGATCATGTTACAGGTTAGGTTTAGCTAACAAGAGCTAAGGATGTTATTACACTGTAAACAGACTCCTAGTATTGGGTAAAGATGGGTATTATGAATATAACATTAGGAAAGTCAAATTACTTTCATTTTAATTGATAACTGTCTTTCTAATCATTTTCATGTTTGAAGATATAGCAAGCAAATTCACAGCCTACTCTAAAAGTACAATGAGATTGGCTGACCTGATGGACTTACAGTAAGTCAAATCAGTGCCTGCAGCATACGCAGGCTAGGAGTTGGGAGAGGATACAGTAGAGATATGGAGGAAAAGGTGCTCAGAGGAACATTTCTAATGCAGAAATGTTGTTTTTTGGCTGTTTTAGGAAAATAGCAGGATCTGGGGACTAAAGTAAATAGAAGCATTCTTTTAGTACTGATGACTTGAGTCATTTTAGTTTTATGTGTAACTTCACTGGGTTTATGAGACCAAAATGCCACACTCTGTAAGGCAGCTGTTTTCCACATACAGCCAGTTCTGAACAAGTGCACATAGTGCAAGTTGCCACCATCTCTTGTCTTAGTCTACAGCAATTCTTGCACCTAGAGAACAAAAACTGGTTTGGAAGGGAATGAATTACCCATTAACAAGAAATGTCTGGGGGTCAGAGGGTCCTACACCACTTTTCTGTCCTTTCACACATAGGTAATATACATAGTGGTTTGGGTCTTCTTTCACCTGTGGCACTGATTTATACTCCCATCAAACGTAACAGTGGAAGTACAGGTTTAACTCTCATAATCAACTTACAAAAGTTTATTTTCTTCATATATGTATTTGGTATAAATGACAAAGTTTTGGCAGAGAGGAGGGCTGCAGGGGTGGTCTCTGGGTGAAGAAACCAGGGTCTGCCTTATGTCATATACAACCAGTATTTCCAAAACAGACCTAATGCAGGACACAGCTGAGCCCATCAGCTGAGTTGGTGGTGCCTTTGTGAAAAGAAAATACTAGAGGCAGAGGAGGAGGAACAAAATAAGGAGAAATGATAGAGGGAAAACCAAAGTCAGAGGAGGGGGCTCTCCATGGCAGAGCAAGTACATAGCTGAAGGGACAGTGGCCTGAGGAAAGACCACAGTGGAGAATAGGAAAAGAGTGATAACCAAAAGAAAGAAACTGCTGTGCACTGACCTCCACCTCTGGTGCTGCTTGTTGGCTCACCAAGGGGACTGAATGTAGCGTGTCAATAATGAGAGAGGAGTCTGAAGTGAATGAATGAAGTGGAAACAAGGAAGAAGGGAGGAGTCTAATGTGAGATTGAGTCTGGGAAAATGGAAGATTTATTTTTTTTTCCCTAAGTGTTTTAATACTTGTCATATGTTTGTTTGCAAACACTCTTATCAGTAATTAAATAATTATGCAAAATGGCAATAAATTAAATAACTTGAGTTTATTTTGCCCAGGAGAGTACTTGGCAAATGCTTTGCCTTGCCTTTACCTTGACCTATGAAATCTCTCACTCTCATTCTTCTATTTTCTCCCCAGGTCAGCTGGGGTTGGAGAAAGAAAGAAATGAGTGAGCACCTGGGTGGGTGCTTGGGTGCTAGCTGGAGCAAACTGACCACAGGAATGAATTTTATTATAATCTTTACCTCTCCTTCCTTCCCTCCCTTCTATTTTTTCTTTTTTAGCTCTCAAATATATACATTAAGTATACACTAAGGCAAGTTGTTCTTGAAATTAATTCTTGCTTCTATCAGTTCCACAGTAAAAGAAATATGAAACTAACCCTAGCTAGATGCTTCCAACAGTAAGATTTTGGCATCCAGACCACATAATGCAATGGGATAGTCTAACCAGACTGCCAGCACTGGAATGAAAAATGTAACTCTTCATTCCAAAGAGACGTTAGATCAGCATACTCTGTATGGTTGCCACATGGAAGTCATGTAAATGGGTTGTTTGTTCTGCCTTTTCATCTATTACTTCCTTTCTGATTGTGTTTCCCTCTTCCTCATTCATGTGCCATTTTGGGGGTGACATGTTCATTGTTATTAAATGTCCATTGACTCATCCTTCTTTTGTTGCTGGTCTTTTCAGCTCTTCTATAGCATTGCAGATCCAGCACCACTGGAAGAAGTACTGATTCTAGTAACTTGACTGTGTTTAATGAAACTTCTTCACTGACATGTCTACTAACAGGAATTGGATCCTAAATCCCCCTCATGGGTGTTGTGTGCTGCCCCTTCCTGCTTGAAGAAGGATGAAATACAAATGGTGATGAACCCCTTCTCCTCTTGGAAGGGATCATGCAGCATGGCTGGGGTGCACTGGTAGGATGTTGTGTTAAAGACACAATTTCCAGCTAAGGTGCTTAAGGTTCACAATATCATAAAGGAGAGCGACTGTTGCAATGGGGAAAGGATCCCAGACTGCTCTCTGGGGCTGCAGACTCCTCTGTGTGAAAAAAATACTCGTTAACTCTATTCAGGTCAACAAGTTTTGTGTCTCAGCTGTAACCTTGTGGTACATCTGATAAGCACAGAAAGAAAATGGTCTGACAGAAGAAATTCTTAAGTCCCATTCTTTTGAGAGCTATGACAGACCTGCAGTGAAACTAGAAGAAAGATGCAGATGAAAACCAAGAGAAAGGAGGACAAAGTGTTAAATATGCTGACTGGGCTGCTGGATTGAGCTGTCTGCAGAAGGATGGAGCTATAAAATCAAGGTTTAGATTTTTATAAGTTGAAGGGAGGATGGCTTCCATTTGCAGTTCAGCTTTTGGTCCCTCTAGTAAAAATAATCAGGCTTACAATGAAGTTAGTGAAGTTTACTTAACACTGTCATTAAAGTTTCCAAAGAATCACTCACCCAAACTCCCATCACTTATGTAAAAGATAGATTATATGAGGAAGTTATACGAATCTAGGGTTTTTCAGTATTCATGGTTTCTGAACTGAGTATCTGAAGCAGCTGAAACATTTGCATGGTTTTGCTTTTTCTTCCAAACCTAGCAAGGGTGCTGTTCTAGTAAATGACAAAATCCAGACAGAGTGGGAGCAGCAGGATCCCAAATTAAGCAACTATATGTTGATAAATGCTTCCAGTAGCAGATTTAACTACAGATGGAATCGTTTGACCATTCGACATGCCACAGTCCACTTGTTAGGGGCTTCTGACCACCTCTCTGCAACATTAACTTCATAAAAACTTCCATCAAAGAGCCCCCACCAGAGTCATAGTGCCTTTTTTAGAGCATTTTCAAACAGCAGAAATAAACATTAAAAGATTCTGCTCTTCCTTCCTTGACATATTTCTGACAGTAAATTAGAATCAGATGGAAGGTATCATTATTTCCACAAATGTTATCATGTAAATTAATTCCTGTACAATAATATTTTCAAAAAATAAAACTTCTCAAATATATGTATGCATTTGGCCAGTAAATTCAAAGACGTAAAGAAGTTCTGTTTAAAGCTGATATTGTATTCCTGTCCTTGGGCAAAGGATGTTCTTTACTAACCAGTGCTTTTAACAATCAGTTTTCAATATCCTGGACACCTGATATTTTTGTTTTTAATTTACATTTTCTCCTTTCCAGGTTGTTTGTTTGTTTTGATTTTTTTTTAAAGTACTGCACTTCAAAATGACAAAATAATTGCATACCTCGCATTAGGAAAATAAATCTGCAAGAAATTAAGACTACTTTGATTACAGGAATCTCTTAGAACTGGAGATGATGTAATTTTAAAACAACAGTTTTTGAAAAGCAGAATTTCAGACATAAATAGGTGGTTCCCTGCCTCCACATTGGTGAACACCAAGCAAAAGATTGTCAGTGCTCTCCAGAGAATCTGTTCATTAAAAAGGTGATTTACCAGCATATTGATTTTGTGGGGTGGAAGTTTAACAGATATGTGAGATTGAATAGATGTGGCTGAATGTAAGTAGAGACATAAGATAAGATGTATACATTTATGGAGGTTGATATTCATTTATTAGCATTCACTAACTGATTCCACAATATAATTTAGCAAGGTTTATGACAAAATCAGTTTTCTTACCTACATACATGATATATTGCTAAATAAGACAGCATTATACCTTTATCCTTTAATGTCTGTGTTCTCCACAGAGACATTAGAAACATCCACTGATGGAGTTAGAAACATCCACTGCTCCTCTTCTCTGTGCTTTTTCACAATTTGACTCCAAATGCCCCTGAGAAAGTGTGGGATGATGACACGGACAATGGCTGCATTTCCGTTTGAATTATTCAGCCTTGCTTTACTGGGAACAATAATGACTTTTTAGAGTGGTGAAAATCAAAAATATTTCAGCTCTTCTCTTTATACTGCTTTGGAAATTTACTCAGGATCTAACAACACTGAAGTTGCATCTAAATTCTAGTTGGGAGATTACTTTGTAATTATAGTGATCTGGAGCTACAACCAAGTGTATAGCTATGTATATAGCTATTATTATTATTTGTATTTATATACTGTAATATTCACAACACACTATCCCACATTCACCCATGCATTGTACACACATACAAAGACTCAATGCTTACTCAGAAATACTCATGATCTAAATACACAAGCAGGCACTCAGAAGTCCTCAGAATTTTAAATTAATTTGTAAATACTTTTATTCACATATTTATATGTTTTTTAACTTTAAATATCTTTCTGATTGTTCCAGCTATAACATAGAACTGTATTATTTATTAGGATTACAAGTCCACTCACATATCATGTCCTTTCTATTCATATTACATACATCACCCAGGTGTTTACAGTCTTGTTTTCTAAACTCTGTGGAGGCAGAAACTCACTATTTCTTTTCCTGTAGTGAAGATACCTCTTGGTCCCTAGCCTGCTCATAGCTGGCCTTTTAGAGTGGACCTTTTTCAGACTTCTATCCTTTCCTTAAGATATGAGTCATATCTTTACTGTCACTCTCAGTGGCTGTTGAGCAGAGGTGTTGGTATAGTGCCCCTGCTGAAGAGCCAGGCCAGGCCTCCAGCTAAGCTAAGACTGTACTTGGTCATAGGGCAATGCTCCCTATGAAGTACTGCAATGTCCATACCAACTACTATATGTTTTAGCAAATTCTGGCACTGATCTCAACTCAAAAGAAGTGATAGCAGAAAATGTCATCATACTGTTTCACCAGGGTCAGGAGGATGAACTTCATCAAGACAGTTATTCCTAATGAGATCATTACTGAGCTTCTTTAGTCTTAAGCTCCCAATGTACATTGTGAATAGCCATAAATTAGTTATCACATTTAAAGGCTTGCTAGGATGCCCATTTTACAAACAGCAAAAAAGAAAAGCCGAAGGTTGTGGGTGATTTAGGACCACAATTCAATATGAAACTGAATGATGTTTCAACTCCTAAATACTTACTTGGGTTCTCTTTCTCTTCTGAAAGGCTAAAGATTATGGTGGCCAGGTTGCCTTTGGCAGAAGTAAGTATCCAGACCTCATGTTTACCAGCTTTATTCTCTGGACCCAAGAAATAACCTTCCTATCTACATTTATCCAGCACTGAAGTAAAACTTTTCTTCCTTCATAAAGAAAAGTCAGAAGCATCTAGCAAAGACATAGAAACAATCTTAAGCGATTTTCTGCTTATTATTTATTTCAATGTCCTTCTGATGGGTGACTATGCCTTTGCTAGTGGCACTCAAAGAGCCAAAAGAAACATATGTTGTGAAAAGTACCTTTAGCAAAACAGACAGATGGATAGGTAACACTTTAAAACAGGGTGCCCAATGATTAGCAATTCATTTGGTATTCATTGCGATAACATTAATTGTGGTGAATAAATTGCATTTAGCATCACTTGGAATTTTGTGAAAAGAACGTTTGCCTTTTCTATGTCTTTGTGAAAAGGAAAAAATAAACCACTTTTCTATTTTTTCCATTTTGTGTTATTTTTCCTGTCTCAGAAAACAGTTAACAGCAGAGTTTATGCAAGAAAACCACAAGTTTTGTATCAATGCTTTAAAATTTTAAATGCCTCTGATGTAATTTATCATTTATAAGTAAATTTTCACTCCGATAATGCTTTGAAGCTTTCCCACTTTTCTTACAGCGATTGAAAAACTTCTGAACTGCTCAATCCTGTCTGCTGGTTCATCACTCTCTCATTCACTTAAGTATACCAGAAAAGTGAAAAAATATACCAATTGCTTGTAAGCTGTAAACAGTCAGTAGATTGTGTTCTGTAGATTACAGACGGTTTACATTGGCTGGACCAGGCTTTAGCTGTCAGCACATAAAGAGAGAAATGGACAAAAGAGGCTCTGAGAGCAGATGTTGACACTGGAAGCTCAAATTCTGGGATCCTCAGCCTGTGGCTGTGGAAGCCCAGCTGCGAGAAAGAGACAGGCTGCATTCATAGAGCCTCTCTGGGATCCCTGCCCCATGCAGGTATTCAGCCATTGAGAGACAGGAAGATGAAAGGCTGCTTCACAGATGTCACCTGCTGAGGGTCCAGCAGCCTGTCCAGAAATGTCATGTTTGGCAGCTGGTGGAGGATCCCTCCCACCAGCTCTGGAGCACAGATTCTCACAGTATTCCGGGAAAGATGCTTACACGGGGGCTTCCTAATGAGATGACATTAAAGAGAATTTTTGGCTTCTGTCTCTAATAGCACATTGACATTAACCTAGCTGTCCATTCATTACACAGTTCTACTGAAGATCACTCACTCTAACAAAATGAATTTTAGGCATAAGCACCAAGCCAAATTACCCTGGAAAATTGTCTGGATAGCTATCATTTCTCATTCTGTTAAACTGACTCTGCATTCTTTAGTTTCTGTGCAAGTTTCTGAAACTGCTCTAAATTCCACTGGTACATGCTCAGTTGAGGCACTTGGCCCCAAAAGCAGGAGAAACTGCACAATTCCAGAGAATATATAGCACTCAAACATGGCACACTGAAACTCCTCTGCTTGGGTAATAATATATGACCTCATCAGTACACACATTTAGAACATTGGCAGAAAAGATCAGAGAGTATTGGTAAGAAGATAAAAAAGAAAGGCAATAAGAATTTGGCAGAAGGATACCAAGATCTAAGCAAAAAGGTGCTAAGCTGAAGCAGAAAAAGGCTATTGCTTAAATTAGTTGGTAGGGGTTAGTGTTTCTCACCTACGGCCCTTAGGTCAAAGCAAATGGCATATGCTTTGTCCTTTGCCTTTTGGGCCACTTCTAATCTGCATAGAAAGATCAAGGGGTCCTTTTCCATACTGCATACAGGCTCAGGGAAGTGCCAGGATCTCATTTTTCTCTCATGAATCAATTACATTCTCAGAAATATCTAGAATTATTACTTAAATGCATGAAATTGGCATTTGCTATTGACCAGTAACAACAAAAAAAAAATTGCTCAGAATGGTCAAAATTCTCATTCATTTTTTTTTGAAGCTTTACAATCTTCGCTTTTTTTTTTCTTCTTTCTGCATTCAATGTAATAAGAATAGGTGTGCTTTTAACAGGTGAGATTTTTGCTACAGCATCTAGTAGTGTATTGCCTCTAAATAGCATTCAGAGGTATCAAAATATCACTGAGACCCAGGAGAAGACTTTCATCATCATCTAAATTCTTATTGCAACTATAGCTGTTACTGTTTTGGTTCTTCCCAGGGAGGCTGCCTGCATACTAGGCTAGAATAGGCAATGCCCCTCAGGATCAACAGCATGAAAGGTGTGCCTGAGGATACCAAGTAGATGAACTGACAAGAAATTTGTTCATTAGTTACATCAGATGGTCACAACTAAAATCACTTTTAGTGCTAATACCCTTTTTGGCTGTAGGGACTGAAACTTTGGAACATTAGGGGTGACTTGACACCTTGGTCATTGTTCTGCAAAAGGGAAGGAGAGAAAGCAATGAGTGAAAAAGCAGAGGGATTAACAGCAGGAAGTAAACACATACTGAACAACATGACCCTAAATAAATTCACAGCATTCACCAATTAGAGAAACATACAGTCTAAAGGTCTTGATCTTGGAATGGCCCACTAATGTCAACAAAGCCCTGGTGATTAATGTACTGATAGCTCTTAAACTGACTTATAATTCTTTCCTTCTTTTAAGAAGGACTGGGGGGATGTTCCAATCTGTGCCAGTCCAAGCTGAGAAATCTTTAAAAAATCTAATTTTGAAAAGGTGAAAAGTTTAGCATTTTTTGAGAACTGGATTTTTTATGTCAAAATCCAACTAAGGAAAACCTGTAGTTCCAATGATGCTCATAACACCAGGGCATCTGAAGAAGAATAAAACCATAAAATAAAAGGATGTCATAGACAAAAACAGAAAAAAAAAAACTTAGGTCCTGGAACTTTCTAGTGTTTTTAGTGCATTTCATACCTACTTCATGAGTGAATCTTAGCAAATGTTGGAATTTTCTCTTTAGGAAAACATTAATGAGCTGATCTGTGGATTATTAAATAAACATATCAACAAATTTTTATGTTTAATGTTTATAAAACTTATGTTTTAAATACAGTATTATATTCTCTACCACCAGGCTAGACTTCAATCTAGTTGAGAGGGATTTTTTAATTAAAGAACATAAAATTTAAACGGTTCAGAAAATGTCAACATGGGTTCCTATTTTCAGCCCAACACAGACGATAGAACGAGAGGGCATAAATGAAAATTAAAGAAAAACAAATTCAGAACAGATGTCAGGAAGCATTTTTTTCAAGCAGCGAATCATAAATGTGTGGAATGGCTTACCAGGCAAGATAGTTAAGGCAAAACCACGGAGGTCATTAAAGAAACAATTAGAAGACATCACGGTGTAGATGGAAAAGGGAATGAGACATGATGAGCTAAATGGCCTCTACTCAGTTCAAGACTGTCTCATGTTCTCAAGAAATCTGGACACTCGTAGATGTTTTTAGGGCTCTAGGGTAAGTGCTCCATAAAAATCCAGGCAGCTCTCCCTCTCCTCCTCCCTCTCCCCTTTGCTTTCTAGAGGTACACTACAGAACCTTCAGGAATACCATCAGTGGTTTTAATGATGGGAGCATTTGCATTCAATATGCATCATAGGTGCCAGTTTCCTGTCAGAAATGATCTTATTATCATAAACCAAGTTTGCCAGCGTACAGCACCAGGCAATCTCCATTA